GGACCCATCAGGACGCTGATGGGGTATTTAGGCGACCTACTTGGGACGCCAGTAGAGTATTTTGTGAAATCCTTTGAATTATGCACTGCCGTTAAAGTGTTATGTGCATTTCAATTATTCGGATTATACTTAATTATGCATTTATTGAAAGTGAAACTGTTGATGCATTTCTGTTACTAGATCTTCTTTTTGAAAATATTGATATATTTCAACCTTGATTATTTTTAGGATTATGATGATCATTTACTGAGTAGCCAAACTCATCAAACTATGGTAAACATTTTTTCAAGATAACTGCGGATTCATTTCGAGTGCTAGTCAAGATATTGTAGTTGTGTCTTTACGAACTGCTAGTCAAGATATTGAGTGCGCGGCAGGATCAACTTTGGAAAGATATTGTAGTTGTGCTTAAACTTTATTTTGTTATTTTTTAAAAATTCGCCATTGTAAATTTGTCCTAAAAAGAGATGTACATATATGTTTTGACTGCCACATCTCAGGAATATCAGTATTGTAAATTCTTGGGGTGTGACAGTTATGGTATCAGAGCAATAGATTTAAGATTCTTAGGAAATTTAAAAATCTTTTTCAATAATCAAGTGCACAAATGTAGATGATTAAATTTCTTTAAGGGGGTAAGAATGTAACAATCCTAAACTTTTTTTTTTTTTTTTTAAAAAAAAGAAGAAACTTTTAATAAGTGATGGTCCATATGAGCATGATAATCCTTGGGGACCATCACCATTTCAAAGCTTTTAGTTTGAATTTGTTTGTTTGATGGTGCCTTGCCACATACAGTGGACGTGGGCTTTAAGCGTATAAGAGGTAATATAAACGTTACACCTCGTGTATGAGGTGTAACTTAATAAAACATTATTATAAGGTGTCGTAAGAGTTTAAATACGAGAGGCGAGGCCTCTCTCTCTCTAGCCGAATTTTTATCGGAAGCTCCCTCTCAAAATGTTTTAAGTAAGTGACATCGTCTTCCTGAAAAATAGTCTGTTTTTAATAAATAGTGATATTTCCGTCCAAGATCTTTATTTTATAAGCTTTGTGTGTAAGTGACCTCATTGTCTCGAAAAATAATCCATTCGTTTTAAAAATAAAATGAAATAATTATTTCTACTTATTATCATGAATTTTAGGCGCGATAAATTTTATGCGCACGCGACCTCATTATCTTGAAAAATAATCTTTTTAATAAAAATTGTGATATTTTATCTATGTTAGAAATTTTAAATGCTGTAAATTCTTAGAAAAATAAATTTATTTATTTTTCTTGTCTATTGTTAGAAAATTTTAGATACTATCAAATTATTAGAAATAAATGTGATATTTCTGCTTTTAGTAAAATTGTGAAATTTCTTTCTACTGTTTTTAAATATTTAGACATTGTGAATTTCATATGCAAATGATTGCCTTATTATCTGAAAAATGACATTTTTCTATTTGATTATAGTATTGTTGTGAAATGTTTAATTGCAAATTAACATCCCATAAATTGTGATAATTCCGTATTCTTGAATTTCTATAAAAGTTTTTCTATACGTATTAGATTGACAATTATGCTAGAATGTCTTTACGAACTGCTACCTTTCTAAATTTGAGCCCAAAATATTTGATTGGTTGAAATGTTATTGAAAGTGACTGTTATTAATGGTGTCAGTGAGATTCATATTAATGATTTCAGTGATATGTTGAGTACATGATATTTGCTGCTTTCGAATGTTTAAAGAGATTTAGAAATAATTTAAGTACGCAAGTGGACTCATCCAGTTCGTCGGTGAGGTATAAGTAGACCTACCTGGGACACCGGTAGGAATTAAGTGGACTCATCCGGTACGCCGGTGAGGTATAAGTGGATCTGCAGGGATTAAGTGGACCTATCTGGGACGTCGATAGGGATTAAGTGGACCCATCAGGACGCTGATGGGGTATATAGGTGACCTACTTGGGACGCCAGTAGGGTATTTTGTGAAATCCTTTGAATTATGCACTGTCGTTAAAGTGTTATGTGCATTTCAATTATTCGGATTATACTTAATTATGCATTTATTGAAAGTGAAACTGTTGATGCATTTCTGTTACTAGATCTTCTTTTTGAAAATATTGATATATTTCAACCATGATTATTTTTAGGATTATGATGATCACTTACAGAGTAGCCAAACTCATCAAACTATGGTAAACATTTTTTCAGGATAACTGCGGATTCATTTTGAGTGCTAATCAAGATATTGTAGTTATGTCTTTACGAACTACTAGTCAAGATATTGAGTGCTTGGCAGCATCAACTTTGGGAAGATATTGTAGTTGTGCTTGAACTTTATTTTGTTACTTTTTAAAAATTCGCCAATTTGTCCTAAAAAGAGATGTACATATATGTTTTGACTGCCACATCTCAGAAATATCAGTATTGTAAATTCTTGGGGTGCGACAGGTTTACACCTCCTTTTTCCTATA